ATTGCCGCCTCGGCTCCTTTCCCACGACCTACTTGGGAACCCCCATCAGTGACTCTCGGCTCACTGTCGCGGACTTGCGCCCCACAGTGGCCAAGCTTCAAACGCGCATGGAGCCGTGGCAGGGCCGGTGGCTGTCAAAGGCAGCTCGGACGATCCTCATTAACTCCTCCCTCACTAGCCTCCTCCTTTTTCTTATGAGCTTCTATAGCCTCCATGAGACCCTTCACCATGAGATCGCCAAAATCCAATCTCGCTTCTTTTGGGCGGGTGACAACAATAAGCAGAAATACCACATGGTTAGCTGGCCGGACATCTGCAAGCCCCGTGAACCGGGAGGCCTCGGTATCATGTGCTCTAAATGCATGAACATCTCCCTCCTCACCCGCTGGCTCTGGCGCATTTCGCAGGGCCACGGTGGTCTCTGGCTTGACATTATCCGAAACAAGTACCTGCGCGGACAGCCCCTCGCCTTCTGTTAGAGATCCGGCGGATCCCAGTTTTGGCAATCGGTTGTCCAACTGTTTCCCGTCCTTCGCATTGGCACCTCCATCTCGGTTGGATCGGGTACAGCAACGCTATTCTGGTTCGACCGGTGGGCGGGAGACTCCCCCTTTGCGGCCCGTTTCCCCGACCTCTTCTCCATTGCTGTCGTCCCCCTAATCTCCGTTGAGAGGGCCCTTATTGACTTAGGGCGCCTCGCCTTCCGGAGGCCATTTGGGCCTCCGGAAGCCGCCGCGTGGCTGGAGCTGCTCGACTGCATCGCTCTCCACGAACCGGAGTTGGATGCGGGCCCAGACGAGGTTCAGTGGCATCTTGAGCCTTCGGGCCAATTCTCCACCAAGTCCCTCTACTCGGTCATTGCCCCCTCCTCCGTCCCTCCCCCCTTACGGCGGTTTGGTCCATCCGCTTGCCACTGAAAATTAGGATCTTTATGTGGCAATGGATCCGCGGTAGGATTCCGTCTGGGGTGGAGGTCCGCCAACGCAATGGCCCTGGGTCCGGCCTTTTCCCCCTGTGTGGTACCCCCGAAGACTCGAATCACATCTTCTTCTCCTGTGTCTCAGCTCAATTCTTGTGGAGCTGCTTTAGGGAGACCGTGGGAGGCGATTGGTGCCACACCAACTTCCCCGACCTCTTTGCCGAACTCCAAAACTCCCCTTCCCCTTCTCGCCACATTAGGTGGCTCGAGATTGGGGTTCTTGTGTGGACCCTTTGGACGATTCGCAATAAGCTTGTGATCCAGCGTATTCCTCTTCGACGGGCTACTGACGCTCTCTTCAAACTGTCTGGTTACTTGCAGCTATGGCGGCCGCTTAGCCGCCCTCAGGACCGCGACGCCATCACCGCCTTCATCGCCGACCTTGGCTCGATGGCCGTCCGTCTATCGCCGCCGCCCCCTCCGCCACCCCCAGAGCCGGATTAGACGCCTTGCCTTGGCCGCGTCTGTTTTTTGTTTTCTGGGCTTGTTGAGCTGTGCCCTCAGTAGAACCTTTGTACTCCTCGTTATGTGACTTGTGTGTGTGTGTGTGTGTGTGTGTGTGTTGAACTAGTCTGTGTATGTGTGCTCTTGGCAGTTTGCTTTATTTATAAAGCGGGGCGAAAGCCTTTTTCGGTAGAGAGAGAGATAGAGAGAGAGAGAGAGAGAGAGAGAGAGAGAGAGAGAGAGAGAGAGAGATGCATACCTGGCTGTTGATGGAGTTGTCACCTAAAGAGAATCCGTTGGGGAGGTCACCATGGCATACGCGGTGGTTGGCGGCAAGTCGGCGGTCGAAGGCGAGACGGCTAGAACGAGCTATGGTGGACAGAAGTGGTCAGGCTGGAACGAAATGCTTGAGTCCGCCCTTCTTAACTATCCACGCAACACTCGGAGATGGTCGTCTATCGCTGTCTAATGGCGTCCGTCACTGGGCGCCACATCAGCCTGATAAGTCAGGCCACCTGTCGGTTCCACTACTTTAGCAAGCAAATTGGACGATCAGTGCTTCGCGTTATTCGTTTGGCACAAAGTTGATGGTTCCATGAGCACTCGCTCAAATGTGATACTAGTTATTACCCTAGCCCCGAATGTCTTTGTTTTGGGTAAGTATCAAAATCTCCATGAGTTGTCCACCAGTGTAAGAAACTGTCGTTGATGGAGCAGGAACAAAGATGGGAGGGCTTCGTGCCGGTACAGGCCATCACCGCCTCGACGGACCAAACCCTTGCCCTTTGTTGTCCAGGGATAATACTCGTATTACTCATGTAGCAATGGTACCATCAGAATTACATAGATTGATGACTTCGTCCAGTCCTGAGCGTAGCCTATAGGACCAAACCCTTGCCCTAACTATACACCGGACGAAAACCAAGGTTCCGCAACTCTATGGCCGCCGAGGCATGAACGGAGGGGAAAGGAACCACCGTACTTGTTGAGGATGGAGCGGGTAGCAAGAAGGCTTCCGGACTGAAAACGCGTCAATGATGAGCTATTTTTCCACTCGTTGGATGATACTTTTTTTCCTACTGTTTCTTATGCACGTAGGCATTATACATAACGTTGAAAGTTGCACATAACATCACACTTGGTGAACGACTTTTTTTTTTGCAAGGTACATGGTGAACGACTTACAAGTTACAATCAGTCATCCGCAGAGTCTTTTACCACTTTCGGAATTTCATTAGGATTCTGCCAAGAATCAATGTTCAACTGTGAAGATGTCAACGACATGTTAGAGGGGTCAATTTAGGGGACAAAGCTTATTGCCTGCGGCTAGCTAGGCTTTAATCACAAGAGAATATGTTAATGTTCCTGATTGCTGAACGAGTGATGAGTACGCCGGTGCTCGTCCGTCTCACAGTGTTGTTGCTGTCTTTGTGGATTTTGCGATATTATTGTACTCCTCCGCAGTGAAAACAGGCACTCGCTAGCTGGTGGCCGATGAGGAACAAGACGACCGTTCCTGTTATAAAATCGTTGCTGATCTTCCGCTTCAAATCAAACGTTGAATAGGAAAACGGACAAATTGCACGAACAAGGAACCCACTATGTGTATAGAGAAACGTGCAAGCTCTTTATTATAGCTATTTTCATTGTTTCCTCTCGTGTTAACTCAAATCAACTTATGTATAAAAACCTCCATCTCAAGGCTTTTTATACCCTAACCCACCATGAGCATTTTAGTAATAAGCCCATATTAACCTTTTGATATGTTGCAAAGTTTCTTGCCATATTACTAATGCCATTAATTACTGTTTATCTAACTCATACAAATTAGTTGAGTAACACACATGGGTTAATGTTTCTTAACCCCCCCCCCCCTCACGTTTACGGAAAAAGAGTGGATTGCATGCATATATCTAGTTGCACTTGTTGCCTCCTGAAAAACCTACTTG